TATAAATAAGGCCTAGCTTAATCATAAAACCTGCAGCATTGCCAGCCATGTTGACAGTCACGCAGTCTTAGTGAGCCTTGAAGCCTGGCCTCTTCACTTCGTCCTTGAAGAGGAATGCACGTGAAGGGAAAAAAAATAGCATGTTTCATCCATGTTGAAAACTTGTTCAGGGAGGTAGCCTCCTTTACTGATGAGGTTGGGAAACTCTTCCTCCACGTAACGACAAGCAGCATTGTTGTCAGCAGAGGAACATACAGAAGCATATTTCTAAGGCAATACCTTTTTTGAAATTTTTCGAACCAGCCTTGGCTGAAAAGCCTCATCCTCAAGGAGGTGAATCACTTCTGGCAGCGCTATTACTTGCTTGAAGTTCGTCAGCACCTTCTTCAGCCTCTTCATTGTCGTCATCGGGCAAGATTTGGTCGTAGAGAGCTTTGGCCTTTGTCCTGACAATATTAGTGTCCAAACTCACTGTCTTTTTCCTGCAATCAGCAAATCACTACGCAAGTGCAGCTTCCATTTTCACAATTCTGTTATTCGTGGAGTCACCACACGTTTCGCTTTTTACTGAAGCAGTTTTGTGGATGTTTGCTTCCTCTTTCTTGATCTACTGCACTGTACATTCATTCACCCCGTAATGGCGTGCTACAGATGCATAACTTCCGCCTTCTTTGATCATATCTAAAAGTTTTACTTCTTCCCTGACGGTCATTATCTTCTTCCTCTTGGGTGCCCCAGAGGAAGCTGTTGCAGGGGCACAGCACTTAGGCGGCATTATATGGGCTTACTTAATAAAAAAGTTATTGCCAACACAACACTAAAATACAGTATGCGAGACAATCAACATCATGGACAAAACTGGCGATATGCAACAAGAGAATATGCTAGGTGAGGCTGCAATGATGCACAGACAATCAACTCACAGGGATAAATCAACTTGTATTCTCATTTGTCAATGTCACACCGGAAACCAATCACGCACCTTAACTCACTCATCTCTTTACTCACGCACCTCAACTCCTCTCTTTGTTTGGTTGTATTTTTTCATTTTTATTTTTTGATGAATATTTTTGAAAAACCCACGAAGCACTGAAGTCGCAAAACATGAAGCACGAAGTGGCGAGGGTACACCGTATTTATTGAAAAGAGGAAAAATTAAGGGTTACACATTAAATGGAAATTTTTAGAATCAAAAACAGAAACAATGTTTTAATACCTAGAATACAGAATGATCTAATACCTAGATCTTCCAACCACCAGCAATATAAGATATCTTTTGCGACAAGGAAGAAGAAATTAGATTTTGAGCATACCACATGCATGCTAGACGTTTTTTCATAGTAAAGTGTGTGGATGGTCCTGACTCTTAATTTCAACTCAGCACTAAATGAAACACCTCCATGTTGAAGAAACACAACTCATTTATTAACATAAATGTGTATGATCAGTACTTTGGCTCTGTAGCCACTTTATTGCTTGGCATACATCTCAAAGAAAAACATTCTAGCGCTCATGTTATGCCTACTAAATAATATATAACCTTTACACCAACCTGGCAAGTAACTTTTTATTATTTTATTTCAAATAATTTTATTTTCACTGTTCTTCAAAAAATAAGAAATTCTTCGTAAATGTCCTATAAAACATGTCTATTAAGTACTGATACCATGAAGTCATTTGTCATACTTTCATGATTTTTTAGAATTGTAAGTCTATAAATCATGTCTTCTAAACCATCTGAAGTGCAAGGTCTAAAATCCAAAAGAAAAATTATCCCTACCAATTTTGAAAGAGCAAAAGGCCAGAAGATTTTTAAAAAGAAAATTGAATTTTATAGAGGGTAGGGAGGAAAAAACTGACTCAATTTTAATATTCTAAAATAATTACACAAGGAAAACTCTTATGAAAATTCTAAAAGAAGGCAAGTGAAATTAGTTTTAAAATAACTATAGTAGCTTTTCTGCTTTCACTAAGAAGTTTTTCGGAAGCTATGCTTTATAACATTTATTATCTTGTTTATTTTTCAGAATTAAAACATTCCTAAGACACCAGAATAGAAAGTAATGTCACTTTGAATATGAGAGGATAAAATGAAATTTATTTTAATATTATTTCTCAAATATTCTATTATTTTAAGTCCAGAATGATCTAATACCTAGATTTTCCAACCACCAGCAATATAAGATATCTTTTGCGACAAGGAAGAAGAAATTAGATTTTGAGCATACCACATGCATGGTAGACGTTTTTTCATAGTAAAGTGTGTGGATGGTCCTGACTCTTTAATTTCAACTCAGCACTAAATGAAACACCTCCATGTTGAAGAAACACAACTCATTTATTAACATAAATGTGTATGATCAGTACTTTGGCTCAGTAGCCACTTTATTGCTTGGTATACATCTCAAAGAAAAACATTCTAGTGCTCATGTTATGCCTACTGAATAATATATAACCTTTACACCAACCTGGCAAGTAACTTTTTATTACTTTTTAATTTTTATAAAAACACTATTATCAATTCAAAGCAGCTTGAGAAATGACTCTGATGTCTAAAAGAATTTTTATTTTAAATATCAGTACTACCAGTAATTGAATACCAAGCAGCACCCTCCCCCCTCCAGTTGGCAATGGTTTACTATAGTGCACACCTGAATATTTCCAAAGAGGGTTAACATGAATGGAAAAAAACAGAACCACTTTCTTTTCCAATTTAAACTCACAAATTTGATTGGTTTTGAAAAAAATAAGCCAATGTACATTTGGAACTCTGCAGCTTTATTTTAAGTTTAATTTAAAATTTCTTATCTCATAACTTTTTCATAACAATCTTTTCAGCGGCAGCAATTACATTATTCAAAGAGTTATTCTATACATCCCTTTCATTCACTTCATATTCTGAAACAATCACCCAAAAACTTGAATATGACAACTGTTTGTGAAGATTTTTTTTTTTTTTTATTTTTAATTTACACACCTGAATGCTAATGTTTTTTTAATATACTCATGATATACTGTACAGAGTATTTACTATCTTTATTATAACTACAATTTACATTACTATTCATCTTCAAACCATGGGAATGAATTCTAAATCATAAAGAAATTATGCAAGCAAAATATTAAACGTTATCAACTGGAAACAAATCTCATAATCATACAAAAAGTTACTTAGAGGCTTAACTTGCTTTGAAAGATGTTTCCCTTATTATATCTTTATTACCTTTTAGTCACTTTAACACTTTATGCTTTACAAACCTTTATGTTGTACAACAATTTTGTACCAAACCACAATACTAAAACTTTCAGTTGTTTTTTAAAAAAAAATTGCAGAATTCTTTCAAAAATACTTGATGAGAGTATAAACATTAGAAAATAGAAAAATGAAGGAAATATAAAAAATCTCAGCATTTTAAAGTAAAATAAAAATTAATAGCTGCAAATGCTGTTCAGCTATGGCCTTCACAGAAATTTTTACATAATTAATACAATTTTAAATATCAGTCATATAAATTAACATCACCATCATTGATGATTTCTACACAATAATGTTTTTTTCAATAATGTTCAATAAACATAGAATTTGATTTAACAGATTTAAATATTTGAATATAAAATGGATTTTTCACAATTAATTTTACTACGATATATTTAAATGACAGTCAGATTTACGGGTACCTGCCTATTATCACACTGACTACGAAACTGTCACCAAATGGCATGGTGCCAATTATGGATAAACGTGAAACATGACATACTCCTGATATCTACACCTTCATTTGATGTAGGCCAACTGATACTCATTAAGCTACCTTTTGTTTTTATGAACAAAGACATAAATCAACTGTTATTGTTGTATTTTCATCTTGCATTTTGGGTTAAAAAACGGGGGGGGGGCTGTAGAATCATATTTGTAACCACATTCGGGTTCATTTGCAGCTAGTCCAGAGAAATAACATCTGTTGAAAGGGAAAAAGAACAGCTGCATTTGGCTGACGAAACAGTAACAGACTGGAACAATCACCTGCAGAAATTTGTACTCATAGCATTCTAAACACAGCTTCTGGTAAAATTGGTTGTCCTAACAAAAAAGTAAAAATCAAAGAAAGCCTTTCTAAGAAAAAGATCAATTACTTCTGCAGCAATGGTTATTTGGTGAACTGTGCAGAGACTGACAGGTATTGTATTGTAACGGTTACAAAAAGAAGTGCAGCTCAGAATACTGCAGAAACAATTTGTGCAATTCTGAAAGGATCTCTGCCAACTTGCATGGCTTAATGGTTGTCAAATTTCAAGGTCGACATGATAATACACAAGTACCAACATAAATTTTTTATATCACATACCAAAAGATTACATATTTATAAGTAATAGTTTAATCTCAAAACTGAGAGTCTGGATAATTAGAAAGTACACTAAATATTTTCAGGCCAAAAAAGAATATCAATGTGAAAATAAATTAAAATATAGCTGATTTTCTTTTATGATGATTTTGACCATGAATATATACCAAAATGACACATAAACAATAACATGCTGACATTATGTACCTGTAATGACACAAAACTAACACTTATTATCCACATTCCTCTCTTTCCAAATTGTAAAAAACATTCAAATCTAGCCCTTTCATTTACCTGATACAGTTGGAACAAATATGCTTCACTGGAGGAAGACTACCTCAAACGACAACTACCAGCCATGCCATCACTGCTTTATACTCCAAATTAGCAAACACTTTTTATTCACATCTTATCAACTATAATACTTCTAATTTTCATCATCTAGATTTAGCTTAAACTACTAAGTCTTCTTTGTCCTGTAACATTACTAGAGTTTTAAAATGAAATACAAAAATATAACAGTTTTCAAATGCATATTTTTAAGAATGTTTCTATGTTCCATATAATTCCCTTAAGCACTTTTACTTACTTTCAATACATAAAATGCAATTTTATCATGATTCTAAGTTTATTAATTTATAGGATTATAAAAAATACCTTTTCATTAAAGTCATCTTTATCAACATCAACAGCAGGCTGACAAGAGTGGGGATCCATATGAATAAGTTTATCATCTTTAAAACAAAAAACAAAACTATAATTCAACCATACAAAATATAATAATTTTGTGAATTAAAAAAAAAAGAAGTGTATAAATTTCATTTAGTGACAGGAAAACTTGAGAGAAGAGCTATTGTATACATGAGAGAAACACTTCCAATCATTTTCATACTACACTAGAAAATACACAGGTTTACTAAAAACAATAAAATATGTATTTCTTCTGGAATGAGCAAAATTTACTACGAGCTAATGAGTAATGTGTCTTTTGCCATTTTAGTTCCTGCTTTATTTAAAACTTCACATATATGTACCCTCTGCTTTCTTTATCTTTACTTACTTAACATATTTTAGAAGAAAAGACACCCAGATCATTTAGTTGAGAATGTTTGAAAGAATGTCTTTTCTGGCTGCTATTTTGGATCAAGCTCAAACCTGCAACACTTTGGATCGTAGCATAATGCTCAATCTGATCATACCAAACGAAGCTCTCCCAGCACAAGCATATTTGAAGTAATATCTTTTCTGCACAGCAGCTGAAACCACCATAAGTCAGTAATAGATGATCAATTGACACGTTTATCGATTATGACAAAGAACACTATCTCTGTTAGAAGGAACACTTTTGTAGAAAACTTTCTAAGGGAAATAAATTGTTCATAAAAGTGAACTCTAGATGAACTATTAGTGCTCATTGCTTTTAGCTGCTTGCAGTCGTCTACAGCAAAATTTGGTAATCATGTAATCTACCACATTTAGCTAGTTAATCATTTCTTAAATGGTGCCAATAAAATGCCATTTTTAAATTCAGACATGCAATAAGATGGCAGAAAAAAGGAATAAAACAGCAAAAAGTTTCAGTGCCATCATCTAAAAAATAAACAAACAACTAAAAGCAGTAGATTATATGCTATGTGACTATCCAGAACTTATAATCTAAAGATAAGCATTCCAGCTACACTCTCAATTTCATAATATATACACTAATAGGGGGAATTTAAAGCGGAGTAACACGTAAACAATAAAAACCTTAGCTTTAACACTATTTTTTATCAAAACTTTATTAAAATATTAATATATGGCATCAAACAGCACAGCTACCTACCTTAAAATATGAAATAAGATTTTAATGTTGCACGGTGACATAACTTCGAAAGAATTCCAATGATAAATTTTATTAAAAATTATTTTGTAATGCATAATTCAGGTTATTAAACTAGTTGTAATATAGTTCTGATTTACATAACTTTTAACTAAATAATGTACCATTTACATAAGCAAAATTAAATACAAATATTTACCTATTACACATTAGTTAAGTCTTCATAAAATGCTCTACAAATATCTTTATAGTAAATTAAAACAGTTCAAACTGAACTAAAATTAATTTGGGGAGACTGAATCTGAGCAATACAAGTTTCATTCAGAAATGACAATGTCTTAGCTTTTTAAGAATTCAATATTAAACATTTTCTATAATATTTCTTTTTTTCTTCAAAGTTCAATGACCAACAAATCTTCTAGAACTACACTTGAAAGAGATCACCTAATTTAAATAAATTAAAACTAGGGAGATGTGGAAATTTACCAGAACAGGAGATGTGATGAACCAGCCTTTGATAACGTATTAACCTTTTCAAGAATTTAAAGCAACTTTGAAGGGAGTTAAAAACTTTAACTAAGATTTATATTATAGACATTTATGGTATAATTACATTATTACACTTAATATATTTCAAGCCACTAAAAGTACTTACTAAATTTACATTTTTAATACCAATGGCTACATATTATTAAATACATAAGAACCATAACTGTTGAGATATTTACCTTGCCAACCAATAAAGTACAAAGCATGTTTTGGGCGACCACCAATGATTCCAATGCAGTGCTCATATGCCAGAAGACTTTTAAGACATGGTATGTAAAATGGATTAATTTTATCATTTCCCAAACGAACAGAGACAAATAAAATCAAGCTTCTCCAATTTGCATGTGCAGAGTTAAAACTAGGAGGGCCAAATTCAGAATATGATGGGCACATATCTGTGAAACTCATCTGATCAATTTCAAGACTAGGATATAAACTGCTCCGAGGTAAGCTACTTGGAGTTGAAAAAACTTTTTCATCTTCAAGGCAAGGATATAAAATGTTTCTTCGAGTGCTATCTATCTTCATTTCCTTCTTTTCAATATTTAAAACTGGATCAATTCTTTGATATCCGACAGTTTTTTTAGGAAGCTCGTAATTGAGATAAGCTGAAGTTCCATTTTCTTCTGGTAAGTCACTATTTGCAGCACTCCATTCTGTGGCAACCTGGCACAGGTCAATAACATCTTGTTTAAATACTGTAAATGTCAGAACAAATTAATACATTTTCAAAGAAAAATATACATGTATTTGCATAAAGATGAAAAACGTTCAGCTTACCTATTCCATCTGAAGCGACATACATGCAAATATCTCTCAACTGAGGATGTTCAACTTTAGATATAGTAAGAGCATCTCTAGGAAAATAAACAAAATATTCATTTAGGAATTTTTGCCAAATACGCACAGTTTTTTTTAATAGAAAATAGCTGTGGTTTTGAAAATATGTAAGCTGGATTAACTCAATTTTAGAAATGAAGCATTTAAACAACACATGATATTACAGTACAAGTCCCAAATCCAGACGTCCAATATCCAGAATGATCTAATATCTAAACCACGAATCAGGGGGAAAAAATTAAAAATTAAAAATCCCCTACCCCTACATAGTCTAGGAATACAGAATGTAATAACACTCAACAAAAATGTCATAAATATGATTTCTTTCCCAACTGAAATTTTTGCATGTCACTTTCAAAAACTTGCTTGGCTAGGGAGCTCTACCAGGGCTATTGACAATATGTTGATTGACTTTGTATTGATGCTGGCTATAATTAGGCTTTCAGCTTTTAAGTGATTGTAGAGGGTAGCATTTTTCCATCTGACTTAAACAAAAAGTAAAGCCCTAATGTTGTCATGTCTGCATTAGATTTGAAACGATCTAAAATCGGGTATTGCCAAAGTCCCGATGACTCCGGATCTGAAACTGTACTGTATTACTTAATATATGATGACACTGAAGTTCCCTTAAACTTATTAAATTACAAAACTACTGCAACTAAAAATTGAATAAATATACCTAAGTGCATGAGCAGCATGTGTTGGTCCATACCAATCCCCAGCTTTTCGACCATAACTCTCTCCAAGTGAAACTAAATGATGTAGTGAAAATGGGCTATTTTCTGATAAGGAGTCTCCAAACCAACGCAGGATCATTTTATACAATTTTTTTTGTTCAGCAGATTGATCTAAAGAAACTCGCCAATCTGAAACCAAATAAAGTGATCATTTCTTTCATTACAATAGTACAAAGTATACATATAAAAAAAGAGGGTAAGAAGATGGTTACTTTCTTATTATCTACACCACCAGTTATAATATTCAGTACAATTGCCATTCTTTTAATATATTTTTGAGAATGCACTTGACAACAGCAAAGTCATACATATAAGTACCATACATGTATTTGAGTAAATGTAAATTTACATGCTTCTACCAGCTATATAGAGTTTCCCTCGTTTATCACAATTAATCAGTCCTAGACAGTCCTAGTCCCTGATAAGTGAATTTCTGCAAAGTAGGACTCTTTCTTTATACATAAATTTAATATTTTCATAGTTAGAGCACAGAAAACCTGTTTACAACCTAAATGTGTTTATTGTTTTGATATATTTTTAGTATGCACTTTACAACAGCCTTGTCATACATGTGAGTACCATACACATGTTTGAGTAAATGTAAATTTACATGCTTCTACCAGCTACATACAGTTGCCCTCATTTATCACGATTAATCATTTCTAGGCACTACCCTGATAGGGGAATTTCTACAGAATAGGACTCTTCATTCATAAATTAAATACTTTCATTGTTAGAGTTTAGAAAACCTGTTTGCGACCTAAATACATTTTTTAACATTATTTAAGTTTCTACACATGAAACAGCACCTTTCGGTCACCAATACATTCGTATTAATCAATATTTCAGATAAAATAAGACATATTAGACATTACAAATACCACATTTTATTGTACATTTAATTATACACATACATAATTCTTACAAAAAATCATTAACCTATAAAAACAGTGCAAATTAAAGATGGGCGATGAATATAAAGAGATGTACTTCACAGCAAAGAAGAATAAGATTACTGCTCCTCTGAAGACATGACCTCAATAGAAGAGTCTTCAAGTGGTGCAGTATCTTCATCAGGTGTGGTGTTGTCTTCTTCCACTGAAGGAGTATTAGGAATAAGCAGTGGATGTCTGGGAGCATAGCTGAAGAGTCTCATGATAGGCTGCTATCTTTTCATATGCATGAGGAAACTTTTGCAAGGTTACATCATTCACCCAGTGTATTCCAAAACTGCAATACTTCTCCGTGGAGAACAACACACTTCCGATGATACCTCTTTTGGAACTTATTGAAAAAACCCTTGCTCGGCATGAAATCTATGAACGTTGTGAAAGAGGGTCCTAATTGAGGTTCATTCGGCGTAAAGCACTGATAGAGCGGTGTCCGCCGATAATATCGCGGACGAAAATGTTGCAGAGAAAACAACGCAAGGCGAAAACGTCGTGCTACAAAACATCGTGGGAGAAAACATCGCAAGTCTAAAACATCGTGGTACAAAACATCGTCGTCGAAAATAAAGCGGTCCAAAAACTTCGCAGTTTAAAAACATCGTCTTCGAAAATATCGTGGTAAAAAATAAAGTATCTACAAATCTTCGCATGACGATAACATCGCAGACATGCTTTTTTCAGGCTTTAATAACTGTAAATGGATATTCCCATAACGATTTGTGAGCGCAAGTGATGTAAGGAAGGATAATTTTTACTTTCATATTTTTTATTAAATATTAAATTTTTGCTGGGAAAATAAGAAGAAAACTTAAGCATAGAAAATTAATGCAACTTATAGCACTTAATAGAATTTTAAATCGACATAGTTAACTAACAAAGACCATTAATAAATCATTTTTTATAAAGATTTTACAGATAATTTTTCATAAAGAGTCTAATCTATTAAGTTGCATTTAATTTTCTATGCTTAAGTTTCCTTCTTATTTTTTCAGCAAAAATTTATTAGTTAATAAAAAATGTGAAAGTAAAAATTATCCTTCCTTACATCACTTGCGCTCACAAATCGTTATGGGAATATCCATTTACAGTTATTAAAGCCTGAAAAAAGCATGTCTGCGATGTTATCGTCATGCGATGATTTTTAGATACTTTATTTTTTTACCACGATATTTTCGACGGCGATGTTTTTAAACTGCGAAGTTTTTGGACCGCTTTTATTTTCGACGACGATGTTTTGTACCACGATGTTTTAGAACTGCAATGTTTTCTCTTTGCGATGTTTTCTCCCACGATGTTTTGTAGCACGACATTTTCGCCTTGCGTTGTTTTCTCCGCGACGATTTCGTCCGCGATGTTTTCGGCTGTAACCGATAGAGCTGTCTTGCCTTCTCTCGGATGACTAGCAAATCGAATGGAATCTTTTTTCTTGCAGCTGTTGTTGATCCAAATGGCTAGGGCAGACTTTTCAGTATGAACTTATCACGATTTCTCATGGTGTGCTTTGCTTGCTTGTTTAAAGAGATAGTAACCATAGCAAAGATGCTCTTTTCATTTTTATAGATGAAGCGAACAACGGACTCATTCAAGTCATAATGGTAGGCAACTTCCATGAATTTCTTGCCACCTTCTGATAATATCCAAGAGCTTCACCTTCTCCTGGATGGCAAGGCTCTTCCTCTTACTCTTCTGTCACTTAGTTTCATCATCACAAGGCTTAGATGAAACAAGCACACTTTGATACCATGAAAATGCATATACTAACAAGAACAAAGATGCTTCTAATGCTTCCAATGTAGAAGCATGTATGATAGAAATGAACTCGTGTGAGGCTGAGACAATCAGTGGCCAGGATTGACAAAGGATTGGATAGCCAATTAGTGAACAGCATGCTCCAATTGGTTTGGTTTCAAACAAGTACTCTGCACCTTTAATTATTTGCAATCAGCCACATAAATTTCTGCTTGGGACAAACTGTCCTCTATTTATATTATTCAAACTGCATTTATGAACTTATGTGAAGCTAAATTTTTTTCACCAAATTTTTCAACAGGCAGTATCTACCAATTTGTAACAATTATTCACAACACCTTAAAAAACAGGGAGGGGACACTTTTTGAGCTTCAGAATAACTTTTTACTTTTACTTTCTTCCTCCCCCCCCTTTTTTTTTTGACTGAATGGACTGCATTCTCTCATGTAAGTACTCAAATTATTGTATTTTTCTAATTGTAATTGCTGTAAATGTTTCAATATGCTTGTTTTAAGATTCAGATTTATTGCATTTCTATTATTACTTACTATTTAAACTATAATTTTTGTAAAATATAAAGTACACATTGTCAAGCCATACTGGAGCATATCACATGTTGAGGAAAGTTTTTAAGATTACTTTACAAAAGTTTTAAGTATTGTTTTTGATACTTGTAAAAATATTTTTCATTCAATTAGTTTTATTCTAAATTTAAAAATGAATTTGATTATGATTATTTTTCTTTTGCAATTCATCTAGATATAATTAAATATAGTTCTGTTGATAATTAACTCTTTTAGCTGCTCCTTGACTAAACCCAAAGAGTTCTCAACTTTTGTTTATTTCTGCCTCCAGTTTAATTTCCAATTTCTTTTGCTTCAATCAATATCTAATTCAATTTCTTTTGCTTCAATCTGTTTTTAATTTTTTCCTTCCTGTTACTCAGATTACCACTCTAGGTTGATATATAATCTATACATTTTATCTCATTCTTTTATAAAATAATTTATTTTGCAGGATCTTAATAGCATTCATTCATTTTAATATATATATAAAAGAGGTCTGTTGTTATTTTTTTCCACAAAATGACACACTAACAGTTTAAAATATGCCAGAAAATTTAATTCCTGTTTTACTGAACAGAACAATGCTTGACTTTTTTCCTATTGTAAACACTGAAAGAATTAGAAATAAGGTAAAAACAAGTAATTCCAGCGTAATATTCAAATGCCAAGATGCCATTAATATGTAGTAATTAAAGTTGATTAATTTAGTCATTTCTGAAATAAAGAGAATCAAATACAGACTGGCAAATTCTGAAGTAAATGAACATGCTCCATTTATTAAAACTGAACACCAGTCTGTAAATAAAATCATATAAAAAATAATTAAGCTGTGAAAAATTACATTTGACTAGAGTCAATGCCCCCCCCCTAAAAAATCATGATGGGAAGGGGGAAATAAAAAAAAAGGAAAATATTAATATTCTTTGAAGTAGGATATATAACTGCTGAATGCTAGAAATTCTAAATTTCCAAATTAAATGTGCTTTACCTCGATGAAGAAAATGGCAAACTAATGCTTGAGCCATCATCATTTGTCCACACCTTAACATACAACCCCAACCAGTATCTGATACGAGATCTGTTCCTGGTATTGCAGGAAAATTTATGCGATAGGTAAGCCATATTTTACTTAAAAGATCCAGCTTAAGTTGGTTGGCAACATCCTGGGGCAGTAGCATACCTTCTGAAAATAGAAAAATGTAATATGAATTATTAAAAAAAACATTTAAGAAAATGTAACAAATAACTGACAATGGTTACAAACTGGTCAATCTTAGCTAAAATCAAAGTTCCAAATGACTGCAAATGTATAAAATTTTACAAATGTAAATTAAAAATTAACATAAATTTTATTCAATGTTCATTAAAGTAATTTCTAGCATTGTACTTTAAACCAGTGGTATCAAACTCGCAGTCTGTGAATATAATTGTATTCTATATTGTTATTAATTATGTATTCATTGCAAGTGCAGTGCTTATTTAGTGATTAATATTGGTATTACTTGAAATTAATGCAAGTCTAAAATTTAAGATGTAGCTGTCAATACTTATTTGTTACAAAGCTATAACCAACAGAAATTTCTTGTAGGTAGCAACTTTTAGACTTCAGATAGAAAATAAATATTAATTCAATTCTTTTACTGTGCATTATTACTATTATTGTTTATGTATGTTTTCGTAAATATTTAATAGATTTTTTTGTTCGTTTCTTAAAATTATGTTTAAATTTTGTTTAAAAAATATTCTGGCCTGTCAGCTGCTTTCAGATCATGCATTCCACCCCACATGCAATTTGAGTTTGAGACCACTGCCTTAAAATATCGCAACTTTATAACACAAGCTTTCATCAAACATCGTATAATACTCTTGCACAAGTTTACACAAGAACCCACGCAGATTATTAAAAACTCACCAACAACAGTTAATGGAAGGATATAAAAGCACGCAAATATGACATCTTAACACTACCTGCTTTAACAAACTAAAAAGCATGTAGAACAATGATTGTAGGTACTACTATTATTAACTTGAACTTTGCTCTAATGTGGAAGCAAATCAGAGTCAAAAGGAATAAAGTTTTGTACAGTATAATGACTGTATGAGAAGCAACAGAAAAGATATTTAAATAAAAATTAAGAATTGCCAAATATTGACACTTTTCAATGACTCTGATTGTTATTATTATTTTTTTTAATTTTAGATCAATATTATATAAAGGGATTAAAAGTCAATATAAGTGATGAATGTCTTTAAGAAGTAAATTACTTTCCTGCCCCAAAATCATTTTCAAGCACAGAGTCCTCAATTGTTCACACAATTAATATGTTATCATGGTCTGAAATGCAAAATTTCACATTTATTGAAAATTAATCATTTATTTAAGGTAGCAAAGAAAGCAAGTAACAGTATTCTATGTTTATTACCCAATGTTGCAATCAAAAATATGCTGACATTTAAAATACCACCACATTCACATTTCTCTAAATACAGCACAAAATCCGAACATCTAATACCCTAAATGATCTATATCCAAACCTCTGAACCACCAGCAATTTTGTTTAATATTTGTTTTTCTCAAAAAGAGAGAAAAAATTAGACTCTGAAATTAGCTACCGTTCGTATAATGCTTTTTGCATGCACAGTAGACATTTTTTCAAAATAAAGTAATTTCAGTTTTCAAAATAAAGTAATTTCAGTTTGAGAAAGGTTGATTCGTAATTTCAGTTTGATGCTAAATAACATGCCTCCATGTTGAAGAAACACAATCATTAATTAGTTTAAATCTAAAAAATCAACAATTTGTTAGCTCTGCAGCTGCCTTTTTGCTCTGAATCCATCTCATTTCAAAACGTTTATTTAAGTCAATCACTGATTTTAAACCTACTGAATAACTTATTGCCCTGATGCAAACTTGTCAATAATTTTTTATTACTTTCTCCTTTCATCACCACGTTACTATCAATTCAAGGCAACTTGAAAAATTACTCGCAAAAATTTCTAAAAACTTTTTTTTTTTTTTTTTAATATTAGCTAATTTAGCAGAAATTGCATGGTAACCTTTTATGTTGACATTATACTTGGCAATTACAGGACTTCATTCCAACTGTGCTGCGAAGCATTAAGTGTGTTCGGCAAGGAGAAATTTAGCAGAAATTTCTTTCCATATGCAACAAAGTGATTTTGTAAATGATATTTATAGGCCAAAAGACCACATTTTATGCTGTTTGAATAAGCAATAACTCGTTTGTTATTTAGATCAGATTCTGTACTAGATGCGGAAATTTGTGTATTCGGAAAATATAAGCCTTAAGCATTGCAGAAAATAGACATAATTATAATAATATAATTTAGACTTGTGTAGAGTAAACTAATACCTTGATAATTTCAGCATTCCAAGGTATCTCAAAAAAATTTCAAATATGCAGGTCCTTCTTCTTTTTTTCAATTTTTAACATTGCGCCTTCATATGACTTCATCGTTAATATAAAATTTCATGTTGTTTCCATTTTTGCATACTGGTTTGTCAGATAAAAGACCTCTTTCTTGAAAAAATGATACAGTATTCACCTCATTACTTAGTAAATTAAAAATTGTTAAAATCATATTCATGCAAAAAAAAAAAAAAAAAAAAAAAAAAAAAAAGGAAAATCTCATAAAAAAAATTAATGCTATAAGAACACACGGCAAGAAAAAAATGCAACATGGTGCTAATATGTGATTACGTAGCGAGGTATAAGAACACCTAGCCAGCATTAATATACAATCATATGGCAAGGTACAAGAACACGTAGCCAAATTTGGGGGATATATCTCGGTTGATTGGCAATTCAATCTTGTAGGCTGCTATAACAGAGAAGCATTCACCTTCCTTGTAAATTGACTTAATCATTTTTAATCATGGATACCTACTATCATTTTAAGTTCTGGTCTGAAATCTAAAATTACATGGATATTTAGAGAATACAAAAATGAACCTATGAATAAGATTTGGACATTTGAGGCATATAATATGCACAGTGTCTTTTATATGAAAAAATGGAAGTGGTACTTCCTTTTCAAATAGGTTATCTCTTCTTTAAGTCTTTCAATTATTTCAAATATTATAAATAAGAATTTAACAGTTAATATCTGAAATATTACCTGCAACATTTGTAATTTGCATGTTATAAATTAGGTAATTAAATTAGCCAATTTTGGAAACCAAGTGAGTTGGCCAAAAGGAAGTTGCATGGAAGTGAATATGTAAGAAAGAATTCTTACTCTGGTAATTAACAGAAGAATCCCACACTTGTATTCAAATGATATGAAACTGCATGTAAATTTAAAAATTTCACTTTCAGACATTTATTTTAAAGGTTTTATAAATAATATAAGGGAAAAAAATGCATTTAACACTCATTACATTTCACATTTAAAAATGAATTAATGCAACTTTTCACACTAAAAAAAATTTTATCTCTATTTCACACAAATCATGCAATACCTGATAAATACCATTTAATTTATTATGATAGCACTTCCCCAGTAGCCATATTGCTGAGTCTGTTTTTAAATTCACTTCTCTTTTCACTCGCCAACCTTGGAAGAGGAATAAAAATATAGTTCTGCACAAACATGAAATAATCACAAATGACATAATTTATAACACCAAATAAATAAATATACAAAATTGTGATGAAAAAGAAATACACACAGAATTAAAAACCAAAAATAGTAATTACTACTGTTTAATGCAATAAGATCACAAACAGTAGCTTGGTAGTGTTATTATGAAGACATCAAATTTTATATTTATATTCTTTACACTCAATAATAATTAACAAATGCAAATAATTCAAATAAAAAAAAACAGACATAAGGAGAATGTGCCTGATTTGATTTAAATTCACAGATTTGTTGCGCATGCTTAAATTATAAGAAAATTACAAGCAAACTGTGTAGAATAACACACAATAAGTCAAGTTTACGAAGTTAAAAAAAAAACTATAAGAATGTAACATTAATTTGATTATCTGCAATGTTTAAATCAATATTTCCAACCTTCCTAAGATTTAAAATATATCAAAAGCTATACTTCTGCTCAAAAATTGATGAAATATTAGAATAATTTTTATCTATAAATTGTAAAGAAGCACTATAACAGATAACTTTAAAATTCCCATAAAACTTTTATTTTAAAAGAAAGAAATATAATGAAAGGGACAAAGAGATAAAAATTATCATGTAATGATGTAAGATGCAATCTACCAGTTTCGGTTAGAATTTGGCATTAAAATTTTCACTGGAGACATTAAAACCCAGTTACTGCTTCAATCATTTCTTTTAGTTTGGTCTGCAATTATTATCTACAGGATTGATAAAGTTCTTCTCAATCTTGCAGATAGTATTAATATTTAAACAATTTAATTATGCTAGAGGATTTTGAAGCTGAAGAATCTACATGAAATGCAGAGTACCACATTACAAATCCTCAAAGTTATCTCGCAGAGGCATGGGGGAGATTCATTAGTAAAAGTGATGATTATTTTTGGCATGTTGCATGACATTTGTGACAAACTCACAAAAACATTCTTTTAAGGGCTTTTATGCTGTGCTTTGTAAAACTGTAAGAAATTTAAATTTAATTGAATAAAAGGTTTAATAAGTTATTAATTAAAGGAATAATTTTCACTTATTTGTATCTTTAATTATTTATATGTATTTTCATCTTAAAAAATAGCACTTTAGCGGTGTTATTTGAGAAATAACTAACTAAATAAAAGCGGTAGATCGCACACTACACCATTACCAATTATCATATGACTAACAAATAAAAAGTTAGCATTTTCATGCATCTACAATAACAAAACCAGTTTGGGAAGGTTTGAAAATAATATCAGCACAGTAGTCAAAAGTCGTTAATCCGGACCTCAAAGCTACAAACTTTCTGCGAATACGTTCATGCATGCGCATGTTCATGCATGGCGTTTACACATGCGCCTAACACCTTTACGCATGCGCATAATAGGTTTACGCATGCGCATTGAATGTATAACGGACAGTATAAGCTAAGCTAAAATTATCTATTATCTATTCAGTTAAGTTGCAGATTGTGTTGTTCCTTAATCTTCGAATTGGATCCGGCTTTTTTTTTATTTATTTATTTATTATTTTGAGGACTGTTGGAGCAATTTTATAAAAGTAAGCTTGAACTTTCGATTAGTCAAACAGAATTTTCCGATTGCTGGAGCTGTCAAAGGATCTACAAGCGAAGTTGTTTCGATGTCCATCAAACAAAAAGTGGAATTGCTGCAAAAATGGATAAGGCATATCCTTTGGTTCTCTAACACTAAAATCTGTTTCGTCAGCACTATCCTTAACTTCAGGGCAGAATGTTTTTATTTATTTGGCTTATAATTCCTTACTAATGTAGTATTTCATCTCGTGTACTCCGTCTTTGATATGATTAAAATCAAATTCCTCGTCATTATATTGCTTCCGTAGTGAACACAGAGGTATTGAAAAGAAAAAAATTTCGATTGACAAATTATCAGTATGCTCAACACAGCAATTATAGGACTTGAACAGCAGAACTTGTAATTGAACAAGAAATTATTCTGTTTATAGAATTAAGAGAAATATTATCACATAAAACGAAAACTTAAACCTTTTTAAACAAATTACATTAAGAAAGTAAACAAAGCTTTTTTTTTTTTTTTTTTTTTGTAAATTTTGATACCCTTTAGATCTAATTGTTCTTATCATAAATACGGTTTCATTTTTTATTTATAATTTCTGCATGCCATTTTACAGATTTAAAACTGATGACTCTAATCCGGAATCGCCGAAGTCCGGTCAGTGGCGTAGTAGAGGGGGGCAAGGGGGGCATCTGTCCCCGGGCGCAGCATTCGGGGGACCAAATTGATGTTACAATTTTAGAATGAAATGTTTCAGTTCTTGGCACAGAGAAAGGTACGCAAAATCTTCAGTTGTCCCCAGGCGCTGAAAACCTAGCTACGCCTCTGGTCCGGATTAAAGACTTCTGACTGTAGTACCTTGGTATGTACCATTAATCTATTCCAGACCCTTGGACATATAAATAAAGGGAAAACAATTAATATGTTCTTATAAAAAATCCTATTTTTAATTATTATAATACTGTTTAATATTAAAACAAATGCAGTGGGCGAAATATATACTGTACATAAATGCAGCACTGCACATTATACAGTACATAAGAGTTTTCTGCTATCCACTAGCAATTTTTTAACATACTCTAATACAGTGGTTCTCAGCCCTTCTGCTCCAAGCAAATCCTTCTCCATTATTGTACAATCTCTCCCCTCATCCTTTCCAAAACTCAAAAAATACAAATACAGTCAAAAGTCGTTAATCCGAACTCATCGGGACTTCAGCGATTCCGGATTATCGATTTTTCCAGATTATAGATCATCAGTTTAAATCTGGTAAGATGGCATGCAGAAATTACAAAATTAAAATATGAAACCGAATTTATGAAATAAGAACAATTATGATCTAAAAGGCATCAAAATTTACAAAAAAAAAAAGCTTAAATGTATTTGTTTACTTTATTAAACATTTCTTTTAATGTAAGTTGTTGCTTCGTTTCATGTGATAATACTTCTCTTTAATTCTATTAAACAGCTAATTCTTGTTAGTTACAAAGTTCCGCTGTTCAAGTCCTGTAATTGCTGTGTTGAGAATACCGACTAATTTGTCAATCGTAATTTTTTCGTTTTCAATAACCTCTGGGTCACTTTCTTCACTATCGGAAGCGAATTATAATGACAAGGAATTTGATTTAAATCATATCAAAGATGGAGTACATCGAGATGAAATACTACATTTAGTAAGGAATTATAAGCCAAATAAAATAAAAACATCCACCCTGAAGATAAGGATAGCGCTGACAGATCAACTTCCAATTCATTGCACGCCGCGGCGTGAAATTGATAAACAGATTTTGGATTTCGAAACATGCTTTCGCTTTGTTGATCTTTTACATATTAGTAAATATATATCGGAAATTCAATTTGACATAATCGAAAGTTCAAGCTTACTTTTATAAAATTGCTCTAACAGTCTGCAAAAAATAATAAGCCGGATCCAATTCGAAGATTAAGGAACAACGCAATCTGCATCATTAACTGAATTAGATAATTTTAGCTTAGCTTATACCGTTCGTTACATATTAAATGCGCATGCGCACACGTATATTCGTAGCCGTAAAGGTCTTACACGCACTCGTAAATGCCTATGCGCAGAAAGTTTGTAGCTTTGAGGTCCGGATTATAGATCATTCCGGATTATGGGTGTCCGAATTAACGACTTTCGACTGTACGTTCATTTAAATTTAGACTTTTTTTAATGTGCTTCATAAATAGAACCAAAGAAAAGGTGATAAATATGAAAACTTTATTTTTTATATTCATAAACTAAAACTAAATACTTAACAGGTAAATAAAAGGGTGACTGTGTTTCCCCCTTAACTATGAAATTCCCCTCCCTGGTTGAAAGCCCCCGCTCTCTAAGATTTCTGATTGTTGGAAATCAATTTCACTTCTTTCACAAAATTAGCCTTTTTTAGTGTCTTTGTTTTTTATAACCCTGTACACCATTGTACTCCAGATATGTATACAATAGCCAAGTCTTGGATATACCCCTTATCTTCATCTTTTTTAACAATCCATCTCCATGGTGATCCTAACCATCTTCTTTTTGTTTGACTCTTCTTATTAACTATCCTAAAACTCTTTGTTAATGAATTTATGAAACATTAATGCAAAAAAACAAAATATTACTAAAAACTCAGAGTTATAGCATGAGTTGTTTACTGAATAACAACAACAAGGATACTGATGCTCATGAACAGTCACAAGACTGTCTCAAAAGAGGTAATAAAGTGTAGTGAGTGCAGTCCGAATTAAATGAGTCATATTCCCAAAAAAAAGTTCGTGTCCAAACAAGGATGTATACCAAGTTGGATTATTCAGTGTGGACATATACCTAAGTACTAATATACTTTAAATCATCATTTAGTAGTTTGGTAATTTTGGTTAATCTTCGGATTATGGTAACTTAGCAATTTTTTTGGCGAAAATTTGGCGACCAACCCTGCTAGTTTTTTTTTTGAGACGCCATTTTGTTTTCAGAAAGGCATTTTTTTTTTTAACTCAACATTTTTTTCCAACAATCTGCTAGCCGAATTACGCTTAAGCTAGAACTTTTATGGACAAAAGTGCTTAATCATGACGAAGATTAGGTGCGAAATTGGGAGAAAGTACAGAATCACCCACTGCTTGCACGTTTTTAAGAATTGCACATACACGGTATCATCCCTGTACACGTTGATCTATTTTCACTTAAAAACATCCCAGAATTGCACAAAAATGGCATTGCGCAAACTCTTGACTTTATCCATGTACATTGCTAAAGTCCTAGCTAGTGACCTTTATCGCCTTACCAAAATGTCGCCAAACTAGCTGTTACCATACTCCAAAGATCAGCCGTAATTTTCTATAATCCACACTCCCATCGAAAAGGCAAGAAAAAATTTTGATGAGGTAAAGCTCCATGTT